GATAAGTATTGGAGCTGATAAGACCAAACCCTAGTTCAATCCTCCTCCCTATAGAGACTATATCTGAGAAGACTGAGCCTTTACTTGGATCCTCCTCCTCATAAGGACTTAGGTCAACATGATTGCAAATTTTAAATGAAGTCAAGTAATAATATTCCCTGATGATGGGCATACTCATTACACATCTCAACTTGAGGGGCTTATTTACAAGAGACAACATTTTAAATCACAATGTGTATATAATGATCGAATGAAAAATCTATCACCAAAACACTTTAAGCAAAATTCATCCACCATCTACAGTCATTTGTCGGGGTGGACAAATCTAATACTCACTCAAGTATATAAAGAGTTAATGTCATATTAAGTATAATATTAAATTCAAACCCGAAATAATATTGTGCCAATAAGGATGTGGCCCAAGTCCTTTGTCCATGTGGTTTGACCTGTAGGAATCACAAAGAAAATGATTATGGTTAAAGCTCTCTTACAAGATAATTTGGTCAGTAGGCTTTCATTTGGGGGCTTGACCATTATACATCATCCGACGGTTTGACCATTAGGATCCACTATACAATTATCACGGTTGTAGTCGTATGTTACCCAATGACAATCTTTTCTTTTGAGTATTGAATCATAGGGTATATTTGATAAGGCATGAATCCCTCTGTAATCTAAGTTTGACTTAGATTAGTCTCCATAGTTAAGCATTCATTCCAGGTTTGCAGGGTTTACTTGAGCAAACTGACCCATGATTGCTGACAAGAATATTTATGTCAGGTTTGGTGACTGCCTCTGATCCATTGACTAAGTAGACCAGAGACCATGAAAAATCGGGATGATATAACCATGAGATCTTGATCGGGTTTGCCATCATCCCCCACCCCCTCAATGTGCTTTTATGTTAATGATGATACTTTTCATAACTTAAATTATAATTTTTTTGTTACTATATGCTAAGTTTGAATACTTTAACACCTAATGACTAGCTTTAATCAAATTTTCTCTCTTGTTATTAGAAGTAATTAAATATAAGAGCTTGTGCTAATGGAAAACCTCTAACCCCGAATCTTAATGACCTAGCAAAATGAGGGTGAAATCTCTAGCTAGTTTTTTCCCTACTATCTCACATGCCTTCTAAAATTTTGACCTAGAAATTAACACACATTAAGCTCTTGATTTTATTTTGGTGTTTTCTAAAATTTCAGTGCTTAATAAAGATCCCTTTAAAGCATAACAAAAGTATAATATCATCATATTGCTCTCTCTCTCTCTCCTATAAAAAGAGATATCATTTTATGAATAAAGGAGGACGATGATGATGTATTATTTTTTGTTCCTGTTCACAACTCTCTCTATCTCTGTCTCTCTTTATTATGTTATATTCCTTGAGTGTGATTCATAAACAAATCAGGATTCAACAACATATATATCTATTATAAGACTAACAGAAAGACAAGTGTAGATGCCTACTAGTTTAATTTTTAATTTCTTCATGTAAATAAATAAATAAAAATTCAATGTCGTTCCAAATGGGTGGTTATGAGATATAAATAATGCTAATATTTTTATTGCACTCTATGTAATGATCATGGTGCTAAAAGCATATATCACGGGATGAGAGGGGATGGATTTCATTCAAAATATTCTAATTTAATTGAATTTAAGGTCTAAGTATATAGTAAGTTTAATTGTTAATTATTATAAACTCAAGGGAGGACATAGAAAGGATTTTAAGTTTATAGTAAAGCTAATTTACTTTAATTTAATTTCAATTTTATATTTGAGATTTCTTAAGTAAACTCCTTTCAATAGTGGAGGAATTTATCAATGTTGAAAAACTCAACTTTATTTCCTTGAATTGATTCCCTATAATAAGACATAATCTTGTTGATACCCAAAAAAATAAGATTTGTAAGTATTTATTTATTGAACCTTTCGATTAACTACCTTAAGCACAATGGTGGAGCATAAAACCTTTCTATTATTGAGGAGCATCCGTCACACAAAAAATTTTACTAAATGTTTTAATATCATAAAATACACTTAAAATTTACCAAATTAAAATATATAATAAAGATTAATATTGATTATATTTTTATTTCATAATTAAATTTATAACTGTTTTAAAATTTTTTGAGAAGATGAAAATCTTAAACTTACATACTCATGGCCTTTTTTATTTTTTTATTTTATCACTTCTCTCCTTAAATTTTAGTTCCACCACCACTAAAGCATATAATAATTTTTGTTTTGGTTGGTTTTTTGAGAGCATTATATTAGTGCCAAAGTTTTCTAGCCGTCATCTCTAATTTGATTATCATTATATGGAAAATATAGAAATATTATCAAGTGAGATTTATGAATATATACATAATTGAAATGATTGATTTATGATTCATGAGAAGATGAATTTATAATAGAAGATTAATATATACTAATATGATTAGAAATTATAGCATGTACAATTTATTGATGAACAAAGAAAATGAGTACATGAAAATGAACAAAAGAAATACAAATCAATTTTGTTATAAAAAAAGGGAAGAATAATAGTACTATTTTGAATTGTACATCTTATATAAAATGGTGTGTTCTTACATGTTGTGTTATCCAGTAGCTACTATATATTGGCTAAGGATTGCATATATCAGCTTTAGAGTAGTAGTGATCCAACAACGAAAATTCATATGGTGCTCTAATAATAGTATCTTTTGTGATATGTTATTGAATATCTTTGTAATATTGTTACAGTCCCCTCAACAATTTCATGATATAATTTTAGAGCTCCAAGTTGATCAACTTGATACTCAGATGTAAGAATAAGTTTGTTAGTATTGATTTAGTAAATATGTTGAACAAATGATATTGGGTAGAGATGTTATGGATAGTGATGTAATTCAATATAATGTATTTCTTGATGAAATGTTAGTAGGTTTTTATGTGTTTTTTTATTGTATGAAACATAGGATTATTAACCATAACTAATACATATATTTTATGAAAGCAAAGGGAAGTGATGATAGTTATATTGATATTGAATTCAAGTTGGAGGTGGCATAACCATATAATGTTTGTGGCTACCATCAAAAGGGCTCAATACTTTGTAAATATAGAAAAGCTTGTAACAATTGTTTGCATCTTAATCCACTATGAGAAGAGAGTGCATCCTAGGATATCATGTAGTCACTGGCCATTCTGAGTCAAATTAGATATGGAGGATCAATTCATCATGATATATTTGTAATCTGTTGGTGATAATGCCTTTATTATGTCAGAGTAGTTGTATTAGTTGTTTAAAGGGTAGGTGGAGAGGATGGCAGAGGGGATGATAGAGTTTGTTTATAGTGAATGCTATATTCATACAGGTGATTTTGTTAATTATTGTTGGGTGTAAACCTAATGTTGATGTAGTTGTGGGTTTAAGTTGTCAAGTTGATTATCCTCGGTTGGCTAGGATTTGGAGGAGGATAGACTTATGAGAGGTTTTAAGTATCCATCTAGCTCATTTGAATATTTTAGTAACATATTTAGATTGTTTAAGGGTCAATGTAAGAGGTTTTAGTGTCACATGAGTTTCCAAGAATATTGAAGGATCTCAGGTTTTATAAGTTGACAATTATATTGTAACTGAATAATAAGTTGTCATAACGCTTCTTGATTATTTTTGGTTAATAAAATATTATATGTGTATTTTAGCATACATATCTTGATATGATGAGTATTGTAGGGCTTAAGGGATGGGTTCTTTGAGCTAAATTTTTAGTTGGGTTATTAAGAGTGGAAGAACATGTAGTGTACCAGCATAAATGTGATTTTTTGAGACCATACACCACATTTTTGAATGGCGCGCATGGTCCACTTTTTGTTGATCATGAAAGCCTTGCAGTATTATATATGAACTATTTTGTGAAGGTTACCATGAAGAAAGACACTAAAAATGTAGAGTTGTGTGAATGATTGATGAGAAATGTTTATATGGTTAATATTTTAGACAAGATGTTGAATGTCTTTTCATGATTATTTATTATTATTGTTCATATCCTCAAGCTAGAAGGCTGATTTATTGTTTAGTCATAGTGCGGTCAGACGTAATTTTTTTTGGTTAATCCATTTTAGTTGAGGATTTTTTATTTTGTTTAGGGGGATAAATGTCCAAGTTCCTTTAAAGAGAAGGGACTTGAAACTCCTCAAACAGAGGGTAGAAGGTTGGTCATGGATGGGCCTAATAGAGGGTAGTAGAGATCCTGAACTCATTTTGATTTTAATTTATCAGTTTTGAGATGAACTATCATGTGGTGAAAATAGGGTTGAGCAGGCTTAGTGTTTTGGTTAGAGCTTGATGGGGAGGATGAGTGTGTTGTTGTTTGAGGAGGTGATTGTACAATTGTAGATTTATTGGATGGAGAATTCAGAGTGGGGATATAGGGTGAGGCATTATGTTCTAGTGGTGGGACTTAGATACAAATGATTGTTAGTAGTGATGAGTAATTTTACTAAATTTGTGAGATCAATTGAGGTATTCATATCATGGAGTTGAAATGCAATAAAATTGTTTCAATAAAAGAACATGGTGGCACATGTAGGTGTAGCTAATTCTAGCAATATGACACTGGCAATCTCTGTGAAGTGATGCATATCCAAATATAACACATAAGAGTACTATGGCTGAGAATTTATTAAATGAGAGGGGTTTTAGCCAAGGGTAAAAGAGGCATCTCAATATATATGACCAAACAACTTGTTGTTGATGCTATGATTTCTATAAACCCTCATACAAATATAATGAGAATCAACTTTTAAGCTACTATTTTGAATGAGTTTAAATCTTTTTCATAGTAAGAATTTTTTCAATTTAGAATTTAGAAAAACTTCTTAATAATTGTTATATTTGTGATATCGTGATCACCTAAAAGTAAGTTGAGCAAAATTGAAAAGCAGCATGCAGAAACTAAGAATCATCAAAAGAATATCAGATAACATCCAACCATAGACGACAAAAAAAAACCCAATAATTATTTAACGTGGTAAATAAAAAGTATTATTTAAAATAAGTACAACAACATCCAAATTTGATGATTAAAACTTAGAAGTCGTTCATTCTCTTCAAGCACAAGGGAGATCCGCATTGTCAATTCTGAAAAAATAAATCAATAAATAATTAATTTTGCAAGCACTAAACATTAAGAAAAAAAATAAAAAAACAATTGAAGAACACTTTTATTTCATTTTTATTTTATTAAAATTTAAAATAAAACATGTTTAATATGCCCAAACATGTGGAATTGTTTTAAAAAAAATGCTCAAAATAATTAAAAATTTGTTTGTAGTGCTTAAAAAATAAATGGACTTATCTTTAAAAGTGAAAAAAATTAAAAATATGATAGAATTTGCTATATATGTTTATTTTTAAAAATAAAAAAAAAACAAAATTAAAAATAAAAAGCAATTTCAAATGGCTCTTCAACAAAAAGAAGTAATTTTATACATGAATGAGATTAGTTAATTTAAAAAATGTCAACCGCTATAATTCAACAACAACAACAACAAAAATCTAGTCAATTTATGCTTGTTGCAAGCTAAGGGTGTAAGGGAGAGCTTGAGCCACACTCGGCCTGAGCTTGACTAATTTTATCAAGCTGGAGCCTGCTTGTTCATCATAAAAGAGAGAAAATAATATTAATTTAAGGTAATGTTGTAATAAAATGACATAAAGAATGAACAATTAGAAGATAAATAATAACAAATCACTTAATATAAAGTTAAAAAAAAAGCTATATTTTTTTAAACGAATCGGCTCACTAGCTAACGAGTCGAGTCCGAGCTAGCTTGAGTTTGGCTTGTTAGCTCATCGAGCTCAGTTCACGAGCCGCTTATCCGGCTGAACTCGAACCGGCTCACGAGTCAACATGACTCACTTACACCGCTATTGCAAGCTAGAAATAGAACACTTATCCTCATGGTTGATTAACAAGGAAATAATCAACAAATAGCTGTTTGTAGTACATGAGACCGAACAACCACAATTCTAAGTCAAACTAATAAGAAATCAAATTATCAATATAAATTAATTGAAAAAGAAGTTAATTGATTATTTAATTTTAATTTTTGTAATACTTTCTTTAAATAAATTTCTATTAATTTTAAAAATAAATTTTGTGAGATTTACATAAATATCACAAAATTCTTATCTATTTACATATCTAACATCTAGAAACACTTTAGTGCTATGGAAGCATCAAAATATATACATGATCATTTATATTTTATTTTTAAAAAAATATTATTTAATGATATTTTTATGTGATATTAATAATTTTAATGTTCTGCAAATAGGTATAAAAGTTTAAATTTTGGATGTATAGATACCTAAGAATCATATGGTATGTATGAAAATCACCAAATGTTGTATTATTATTTATAAAAATATGATTAAATAGACACTTTAAATTAGAAGTATTTTTAGGTGTTTTCAAAATTAGGTGCTGCTTAAAATAAAATTAATATGAATTAAAATGAAAATTATGTGTATTTGGGACCCTAAGCATTGTCAACAACTTACCATTCAACCCGAACTATTGAGAATTTCTCAAAGTGTCAATACAATGAAAAAATACATTGGTCAGAGAGGAGGAAAAAAAACCGCCCCCGATGTAGCTTGCGTTCGAATTCCAGACGCAATATTTTTTTCCCGACCAAGAAGTATATAAGTGCCTTCAATCGCAAGTTGGTCGGCCAACCTGCTTTTACTACGACGGGCAAGATCAATATTCAACCGGGTGTCTCAACTGACCAACATTTAATTCGAAAGGCGCGGTCGCTAGTCAGCCGGTCGCCTCAGCCGGCTGAATTCAAGCAAGTCAACCATGTAATTACCGTCATATTAAAATTCAAGTTATAATAGATATTGTATAAAATCTATCTGATTAATTAGAGTATCAATTTTATTAATAACAGTTTCCATAAATGTTTTCTTTCTTTAATTGTACAAATACAACCATATAAGTAAGAGGTAAAATGACAAATAAATGGACCTCTACCTCGGTTCACTTTACAGTGAAGACTTATTCTACTCTCTTTCTTTTTCCTCATTTTTCCGACTGTTAACTCTTGAGACGTGTTCACAAAAGACAACTTAAGATTCAATAGGATATGTGATAGTAGAGTCGTGAGCGTGGTCGGGGGAACAGGAGAGTTGATGATAATAAAACAATCATAATCATGTATTGACAATCAAGGTTTTTTAAAGTCTGACAATCGTGGTCAAACTTTAACGCTTAAGAGGTTGCAGATAAGTGGTGATTGCTCGAGAGTAATGGCTAGTCAATAACGATTAGACAACAACGACCAACAATGAAGTTCATAAGATTTTTAAAGTTCAATTCATATCACTTTTTATGCGGATAAGCTCACCTCCTCAAGTCATTCATCTATAAATTTGTTAATATCAAAGTTGATGTGATTTTTAAATGAATTCCAAAAAATAACATAAGTCAAAATTTATTAAAATCAAAGTTTGTTTGTTAAAATGATCAAAATTGCTCATTTTACACCATAAAAATTAAATTTTTAATATTTTGTATTTCTATCTTATGTTAACATAAGTAAAAATATTGTAAATATCTCTACTTGCGTGAACTTACCGAGAATATTGGATTTTTATGGTATCGGCCGCATTGGGATCGGCCATGGCCTGAAAGCCCGGCTTGGAGATGCTAATGGCAGCGGAGCCACAATCAGGGCATGGAGCTTGTATGGTGACGGCCGCATAGGATTTCCCCCTGCAAGGCGAAGGTTGGCTCGGATTGGCGGACCCCACACACACTACACAATATTTAAGCCCGCACGCCGCACCATTGGCCCATAAGGCGGCGCCTGCTTTAGCTGCGTACACGGGGTTTGTTGGCGGATCAGGGCCTACGAGTTTCCCGGCCCGGTTGCATGGATTCACTATGCATGAACAGAATCAAAAAGTTAGAGATTTTACATAAATACCACCCAATATGTATGTATGTATGTATGTATGTATGTATGTATGTATGTATGTATGTATGTATGTATGTATGTATGTATGTATGTATGTATGTATGTATGTATGTATGTATGTATGTATGTATGTATGTATGTATGTATGTATGTATGTATGTATATGTATGTATGTACATATCCACACACACACACATACATATATGTATGTATGTATACATACACACCTACATATGTATGTACACACCAACATATATATGTATGTATGTATGTATATATATATATATATATATATTTATTTATTTATATATTTACATGTATATATTATATGCAATTATATATTTACATTATATATATATATATATATCAGTATGTGTCAGTTAATGGAAAAATTATTACATTCTGAGTTAGATACGTTTGGAGCCCAATGAATCACCTTCACGTGGAGCTAGTAGAAAAACAAGAACTCGTTTTTTGTGATCTAGCCCGGTAACACGGGAATATTCATCCATGTTATTCTGCATTTTTCAGGTATTATTGTGGTGGTATTGATATGTTATTGTGTTATTATAACAACGGAAATATTCACAGAATGCAATAATACATGAACACCACCACAGTAATACTTGAATAACGCAGAATAATATGGGAGGAATATTCCCCTGAGCTAAACCGATTTTTTTTTATTTTTGTCACCTCCACGCGGCGTGATTTCATTCGACCCCGGACGCATCTCTACTTTCTGAGTCCGGGCATCATATTTGTTCCAGTTAATGACATTATAAATGAAAGAAGCTTCTTCGTACCAGCTCTTCAAATAGTTAAATTTCAAGTTTTACATATGAACTACGCGGAAGAGAAATAATAGAATTTAATTGAATCAATAATTTATTTATTAAAAACTAAAATATAAGAATACAGATTAAAACATAAAAAAATATATATCAGGAAAAAAAATGTTTTATTTAAAAATTTTATGCATCAAATTTTATTCCTGACACAAATAAAAATTAAAAAAAAAAAAAAAAAACTCACATATTGCGGTGGCAGGGAAGAAGGTTGCAGTTCCTGGCTCGGCAGAAGCAAAGAATAGGTCGCACAGAAGCAAAGCCAACGCCAGCGCAATCTGCTTCTCCATTGTCAACGAAGTTCAAGTACTGCACAAAAATGAGGGACAGAACCCTTTTATAGAAAAATAAATCAGGGATATTTACATGCATACCACCCAATTTTTACATATTTACATTTTTAACACCTAAAATTTTATTTTTTTATAATTTGTATCACTATGGCTGTCAAAACGGCTCGTTGCTTGCGAAGAACTCATTTTTGGCTAGTTCTCTGAGTTAACGAGCCGAACACAAACAACACGAACAAATGTTTGTTTGTTTGTGTTCGGCTCGTTTTGGCTCGAAATAGTACTAATTCATTTATATATCTTTGATGAGCATTATTTTAAAAAAAATTAATTGACTACAAGACTACAAAGATTTATAATCAATTAAAAGTATTAACTAAGAAAATAGAATAAAAATTATTAAATTCGATTCAAATAATGTTTTAAATCTTGCCCCAATTCTTAATATTTTATGGCTACGTGATTAGGGTTGTCAAAATGACTCTTTGTTTGTAAACGGCTTGTGTTTGACTGGCTTAGCAAACGAGCCGAACACAAACACATTTTTTGAACTCGAAATATAAACGAGCGGCCTGGACTCGCTCGTGTTCGGCTCGTTTACATCCCTGTATATCACCCAAGTCTTTATGTCAGATAAAAAGTTACGAGCATTTTAGTTGTTAAAAAGTGAATTATGCATTAACATGCTGATAAGATGATATATATGTAAAAGTAAAGTTCAGATGTTACATGTATAAATACATAAAAAATAAGCGGTATTTATGTAAATGTTTTAAAATAAATAAATAAGAGGTCCGGCTTTGACTTTTTCTTACCTTATGATGACGCCATTTAATGTCATATTATTATTATGATTATTTTTATTTTAATTGTAGGTTTGGATTTGAATATTTGGCATTGCCCCTCGGCTACAAGGGAAGAAATCCTGCTGCAGTCCGGCCGGCGGTTGAGAGGACGGTGTCATCAAGAAACACCAAAAAAAAGCTAATTTGAGCCCGTATGCTATCAAACAAAATTAGAATCAAATTTTAATTTGAATTATAACATACTCTATTTATAAAATTGTAACTACTTAATCCACACAATTAAATTTTTAACTTGTATGTACGAAAAATGCCGATGATAGCAGAGATTGGCTAGCCACCTCATTCGGCCGACCACCCCACCCGACCGTCTGGCCACAACAACAAAAAGATGCCACACAAACGAAATATCAAATGTATGAAAAGATGTCATTGAAGACGGTAGCAGACAATAATAATTATTAACTCCCAGTAACAATAATACCAGATAAATCTCAGGGATAACAATAATCGGTAACCCTCAGAGCATAATAACTCGTAACTTCCTGGAGCAACTATGTAGTTTTATAGGTACTCTTATGATCTACAGATAATAGGATATTTTTTAATGAAAAGAGGATGATACCATTTGAGCTTTTCAACCATTTATGCATGCCTCTCTCATTCTCTTGTAACAACTTCTTTTAATGTATAAAATGGGTTTGAGAGCCCTGAAAGCACCCCACTTTGCTCCGTTGGGGCAATCATTGCATCTCTCCTCTCTCTCTCTCTCTCTCCCTCTCTCTCCCTCCTTCCCTCTCCCTTGGTTCCTACATTCTATGCCCTGGGCATGGTCAACAAGAATTTGGATTCAACATTGGTGCAATGAGCATGAATTGTGTTGTCAGCAAGAAGACGAGCAAAACCGAGCATAGAAAAACTTCAAGCAAAGAGCAAGGGGAACACACACAACAACGAGCTCACACCATATATTCCTCATCGCGAGCCATCTTCAAGAAGCTTTGCCTCTATCTGCATAAATCTTCAAAAATCTCTTTCACTTTCCTGGTAGATTCAATGGAGACCAAGCCTATGATTTTTCTCCCATGACGTGAAGGTTACCAAATCAATAAAAATCTCTAGCCGGACTCTTATTAAAGAAGACGATTTGACTGTTGACAATTCTGAACCGTCGAAACCAAAGAGTTTGTCATCAATATTTCACAACTCATCAACAGATTAACAATCCAAAAAGCCACGTTGTCCTAACGATGCAAAAGCTTAAAAGGGGAAGGGAGACGAAAGCAAGTAACAACAAATTGGTAGACTTTCCATGTTTTGTTTCATGCAAGAGAAAAAAGTTCCCTAAGGAACTCTTCCTCGAGGCAGTGATGCTCTTGAAGCGTTTGCGAGAAGAATTGTATCTAAATTTACAATCCTATTAGGTCCCGACAAGTTTGCCTTTTTGTCATCTGCTCAGGTTGGCGGCAGAGAAGCTTGGTTAGTGCCATCGAACATTGCTAAGTGGTTGCCAAGAAGTCACCTGAAAAAGGTTGGTCCGACTGGCAATCGCCTCTGATTGACCATTTCACCGGTCACCTCCGCTTGATCGCTGCTCAGGCCACCTCCGGCTGACCACTTGCTTTCGACCGATCACCTGCATTTGACTAGTTATATGCTTTCGGCCGACCATCTTAAAATTGGGGAAGATTTACTTACATATTACTCTATTTTTATATATTTTTCACTCAATTCATTTGTGCTTCTAGTAAGACACCTGCCTCCAACCGGTAGTTTGTCTCAAACTAACCATCTTATAACCTGAAAAGATTCACATATATACCACTTTATTCTTATGCTTATGTATGTACATAAATACTCACTCAATTTGTTTTCCAGCAATCTACCCTTTGACCATCAACTACCTCCGGTCAACTGTTGATCCAGTCACCCCCGACCGTCCACTTGCTTCTAGCCAGTCACTTGTCTCGGTCGGTTGTATGCCTGCAGCTGGTCATCACAAATCAGGATGACCTAAATACCTGAGCGATCGAAATATCCATACGACAAAAAATTCCAAGCGACCAAAATAGCCCATAATGATATTTTATATTTTTTCTGAAACATCTATATATAAATTCTTCTAACTATGTTTTTTAGGTTGGACATAGACTTGAAGAACTCGAAGAGTTCACAAGTGTCTGCATCTAAGCCGATACTTGGGAAACTCAAATTGACCTAGCAAATCAAAGACTCCCATTTGGGGGCAGCAAATCAAAGACTCCCTTCTGGGACGAGTAAATCAAAGACTCCCCTTTGGAGCAAATAAATCCAAGACTTCCCTTCAAGGCGAACACAATGACTCCTCTAATAGGAGAACAAATGAAAGAATCCCTTCCGATGAGAGCAAATAAAAGATTCTCTTCGAGGCAAATAAATGAACCAACACATACATTCATCACTAAGCAAATATCGTAAACAAATAGCCCGACAAAGGTAAAATAGTAAAACAAAGGTGAAAAAAAGTGGAATCCTCACTCTAGTTGCATATTCATGAATGTTACAATTTTTATGTCTTTTTCTTAAAAACAAAAGGAACAAAATAACACTATTAACTAAGTGACAGATGAAACCAATAAGGTCGACCAAAGATCACCTCAACCAGCCAAAGATTAGATAGCGACCAATATCACAAATAAAAAATAAATCTGAAAAAGCCTCAAGAGAGCACTTTGGGCCGAAAAAAATAAGGCACTAAGAGGCGCTGAAAGCCTGAAATCAAGAAAATATGATTATCGTATTTGCATTTTTGACTTATAAAATCTCT